CACTGTGTGCAAGATGAAAACGTAGGAGATGAGAATAAGCACAGCGTCTAACAACAAGGTACAGATCACCAGAGCCAGGGCATAGAGGCTGTTGAAGCGGATGTCAGAGCAGGCGAGCCGGAGCAGGTCCTGGTGCAGGCAGAAAGAGTGGGAGAGGATGTGAGGGCGGCAGTAACGGAAGAACTTCAGGCGAATGATGACAGGGAGAATGGACAAAGCTGCCCTCATCAAAATGGCCACCATGAAATGAATGACTCTACTGTTAGTCAGGAGGGATGTGTATCTCAGAGGATTGCAGATTGCAGTGAAGCGATCAAAGGCCATGGCAAGAAGGACCCCAGACTCTATGGAGGACAGACCATGGATAAAGTAAGTTTGGGCAATGCAAGCATCTCGACTAACTTCTTGGTTGAGCCCCCACAGGACCCCCAGCACCGTGTGCACTGTGGACAGCCCCATGCACAGGTCAGTGAGGGCCAGCATGGCCAGAAAGTAGAACATGGGCTGGTGCAGACTGGGCTCTGTCCGGATCACATGCAGCACCATGCAGTTTCCCAGGAAAACCATGGCATAGATGGAGGAGAAGGGAATGGAAAACCAGGGATAGTAGTGGTCCAGGCCAGGGAACCCCGTGAGAATGAATATTGAGGTATTGATAATGGAAGCAGAAGAAGCAGGCATGATTATTTGAAGGTAATGTTCAAGATGAGATCAATATTTACTGACAGTTTTGTCAAAGTGTCTGCTGTGTGGGAGCAGTTGAGTCTAACACAGGTCCTCACACTGTAGCACAGGTCAAGCTAACGTAGACGCCAGGGAAGCCCCCTCTCCAGGAGGAGCTACAGCACAGGACGGTCTCACAGGGAAGCTTCTTGGTATCAGGTCTCAGGTTATGGGAGCAAATCAATGTCCTGACCGTTGTGGGCAAATCAGATCATGCCCTGCATTTGCTTTTAGTCCCTCTGAGCCGCTTGCAGGACACACAGCAAGTGACAGTGGCAAAGCCATTGAGAGCATAAGGCTGCTCCTGTTCTGCTGTCCCGAGGAAGCCTCTGCACGCTGTCCTGTGGCCAGTGCTTGTGGCACAAGGAGTCAGAAGGCTCCGGTTTATGAGGAAGGAATGAGAGGATTGTGTGGGCCGGGTGGACCCAGGCTCCTGGGAGGCACTCTTCCCTCTTGGTGGCTGATGCAAGTGGAAGATTCCACCTGGTCACTGCAGGCTAGTGGCTCCCTGGGATTGAGAGGACTGGGCAAATGGCAGAATTTTCCAGATCTTTGTCAGGGAGAGAGATTCACTGGGTCGACTGAAAATTCAATACGTACTCTGAAGGAGATGGAACGAGGTAAACAGTCAGGGAGAAAGGGTGTATCAGTATACCAAATAATTTTGAGTTTCCATATCTATCTGAATCAATAAAAATGTTTATATAAGGCTTATTTATTTCTTCCCCAAATTTCACCTTTATTTTTCACTGAATCCTTAGTAAACATTTCTCCATTTTCTGAGCCCCTCAGAAAGGGTAACAATTGTGAAATATACCTAGAGGACTCTGTATAACAGAGACCAATGATTTTGAGGAAAAAGACTGCTTCAACCTTATCCCAATTGAGGGAAAGGAATACTCTTTGGTCCAGCTGCCTCAGAATTCCTGTCTCATCTAAGGACAACAGGGACCACCATTCAAAGATTGTGCATTCTAAGTCAGAGAGGGAAAAAAAAGGAGCCTGGTGGTGGTAGAGGAGGAGGAAGACCACTGTGGAAATCCTTGTGGAGGTCACTCCTCTGAGAAACAGACCCAGTAAAATCTCAGAAGCACTAAAATGTAGTTAGAAGATTATTGTATGCTTGCCTTCTCCATCTAAGGTCCCTTATCAGCAACCCAACAGTGGTCCAATAAAATAACAATTGATCACAGCTAAAAGATCTGTAAAATACAGATTTTCTCTAAGGAGGAATACATTGGAAAAATTAACGTCACAAGGGTTATGAAGAATGGGGACAACAGCTTCTCTATAGCTACAATAAACACAGCTCAGCTTCTAGCTGCTACAAACCTTCAGTTTGTAAAACACACATTACCTGCGAAGTACAATCAAGAGAAGTACAATAAAAAGAGGTATGCCTGTATATTGGTCTATATTATCCTTTTCTTGTAATGTCTTTGTCTGGCTTTGGTAGGAGGGTAATGCCGTTTCATAGAATGAGTAATAAAGTGTGCCCTCCTCTTCAGTGTTTGAAGAGTTTGAAAGGATTGGGCAGTATAATTTTTAAGAGTATCAAATTCAGTTTCAAACTGACCTCATTACAAATCCCAGTTGTGCCACTTTCTAACAATGTGATCAATTACTAAATATCTCTAAGCTTCAGTTTTCACCTAAGAATAAAAAGTATTAGATTTTCATTATTTGAAAAATATAAGAAATATTTATAAATTACTTAGTATATTTTTGCCATTTATTTAATTGCTCAATAAGTGATTAGGTGTCAGAATTTTGTCATTCAATTTATGTGACAGGCAATTCAGAAATATACCACTCATTATTTAATTTGCCACCTCAACAATTTATTCCTAATTTTTTATATTCCAAGCACAGGGAATGGAGCAATGGCCATGTTCTTAATATATCTTCTCTAACCCTTCCTTCTGTTCCATCTAATTAAAATTAAAAAATATATATTTATGTTGAATGTTTTCTCTGTCCATTTAAGCACAATTTGGGTCATTAGTCAACTAAATATGCTTAATTAAGTTTTAAAATAATTGCTTTTTAAATAATTTTTTTAAAAATTTCCAACAAACAAATATGTCTTCAGTCACCTTACATACTTGCTTTTCTGAGTTTAGTTATTATCCTCAGCTTTCTAATATTTTATGCCTAAGAATGCTTCATGGCTCTTACCATATGAAATTTCACACTTGTCCTGTGCCCATATGAAAGTGGAGGAAAGGAGAAGTATAAAAGTTTTGCAAAGCAACTATTATTTTTTTGGGGAAGATAGCCAGTTTGTCTCAGACTAAAGAGAGATAGGTATTATCCTCTTGTCTGGTACTTCTGTAGAGCTCCTTTCTGCTCTCATTCTCTATCTGCTTTCTTACAAAGGGTGGCTCATGGCACACCTTCCTGAAGGAAAACTCAAAAAGTCTCAGCAATTTCCTCACTTGGTGAGTTTAGGTAGCTTTTATCAGTGTGCCTTGGGCTCCTTTTGGTACTTTTTTAATGTATTCAGAGACAAAGAGAATATATGCTAATTCTTAATCTACCTGGAGGGAATTATCTGAAAACTTTTTGCAATATACCTTTGAGGGAAATCTAAATATCTGCACCATATAGGTCTACTGTTCTTGTTATAGAGATTTGGGAAGGGAATTTTTATTTCCATACACTGACTTCAATTACAGAATGACTATTATTACATTGTGTTTTCTTATATCTGTCTATCTATCATCTATCTATCTATCTATCTATCTACCAAACAAATCCTTCTGTTCCTCACATGAATCTCACTTCTCTGCCTCCCATTTTCAGTTTCAATAATGACTAATCACCCCAGATCAGAGTCCATGACATGGAAGTGTGCTTTGCTATTGGGTGATTTCCAGTTATAATCAACTATTTGAGCCATGAATATTGTTCCAATGGTCTCCCCATTATCCAGCTATTTGACTGTAGAAAATTAGTTTCTGAGACTTTTTCTGCATGGTTAAGCAGACACTTAGCTATTGGACCAACAATGAGGCCCTTACGGCAGCAAGGGACCATTCTATGGACAGGATTCTGTAATTCAGGGTGGTGTGCTGATAGGAACATATACCCGCATTAGCATGACTGCTACTACTTTTGCATTTGAAGTAGTTGAACTGAGCTTACCTTATTTAAACTGTTATGAGCCTTGTGAAGGAGCAATCTCTTCACTCCCTTATCCTTCTTGGAGTCCATTAAAAGCTAAATACTTTCTCATTGACTTAATCTTGATTTCTTCAGTGTTTATTCTCTGGCCACTGCTTATTCTTCCTTCCCTTGAAATCCTTGGGCAATAAAGTCTTTGTCATTGTTTTAGCTATCACCTGTATACTAATTATTAACACATACATATTTGAAGTTCTGACACTTTCCTGAGCTCTATATTCAGAGCTATATATTTAGCTATTTTCTGTACATAATTGTTTAATTACCTGCAGAAAACTCACATTAAACAATGCAGAATAGAACTCTACATCTTTTTTTTTAATTTATTCACTCTGTGTGTGGGGGGGAGTGCACTATTTACTTTGTGGGGAGAGGGTGAGACAGAATACATGGGAGGGGCAGAGAGAGAGGGAGGGAGAGAATCTCAAGCAGGCTGCACTCAATACAGAGCAATGCGGGGCTAGAACTCACAAACCATGAGATCATGACCTGAATCAAAATCGAGTCCGATGCTTAACTGACTGAGCCACCCAGGTGCCCCTGAACTCTTCATCTTCTCATCCATCTTTATTTATAGTGCCAGTAAAATATGCTATGATCTATGGTGAGGAAGCATAAGGCAAGCTGACACCCTGCAATCCACTCCCCACCCCCAGGTGGGATAAGTGTGATATTCCTCAGGCACTCCTGGCTGCCCAAGAACAAAGGAAATGACAAAAACAAATGGTTAAACTGATAAAGTCTCCATCAGTTTACAAATATTTTAGTAAATTACAAGAAAAAGGCAATCTTATCAATAGCCTAATCTCCGGAATCTCCCTACTGCTAGAGAGAAAAACAACCTTAGCTTGACAATAGCTAGGCCTCCAGTAATCTGTGAGTCTTCTTTAATGGAAATCCCTTTAAGAAACATCCTCTTGGGGCACCTGGTGGCTCAGTCAACTAAGTATCCTACTTCACATCAGGTCGTGATCTCATGGCTGGGCTTGAGAGTTAGAGCCCTGCCTTGGACTCTGTGCTGACAGCTCAGAGCCTGGACCTGCTTCAGATTCTGTTATCCCTCTCTCTACCCCTCCCCGACTCACGCACTGTCTCTCTCTCTGTCTGTGTCTCTCTTTCAAATATAAATAAACATTAAAAAAAGAAAAGAAACATCCTCTTGACTTCATTTCCTCCAACTCTAAGGTATATAAACAGTCACTCACTCTTCACAACCCCAGTGCAGCTCTTTCTGCCCCAAATTATAATTTTGTTGTTTTGTATTTTGTGTTGTAACATCCATCCACTTACTACTTCCATCCCCCACTGTATATAAGTTTCCCTCTTAATCTATTGTCAGTGCAAAAGCTAAAAGGGAAGGTTTTACAAAGTATGCACAAAGAAGTAGCCACAGCATTCAGTGCACAGGCTATAGCAATGGAATTCACATGTTTTATCTTCAAAGCATCCTTCATTTATAGTTACGTTCAAAACTGATGAGATTTTTAGAAAAAGCCTACAGAGAAGATAATTTTGCTTGAAATTTTTTTCATTCTTGGTATTTAAAAATATGTGTTGAAAAAAATATATGTTGGTAACTGTGACCAGTTTAAGAGTTAGATAACCTTACCATTCTTGAAATTTCTATTGAGATGAGAAAAACAGCAAAATCCTAAAATTCCCTAAAAGCAAAATTAAGAAGTCCTCATAGGTTTGATTCTCACATATCTGGAATTACATTCATTGCCTGTGAACATTTCACCCTTGCAAGTGATACAGGCTGGCTTTGTCGG